ATTAAATATATAAATAAAATATAATTAAAATTAACCTCAGCCTAAATTTAGTATCTTGCAGTCAGAAGTTAGCTAGCTAACACCAGTTAGCTACATCTTACACGTTTCTGGATCTAGAGCCATGATAACCTTCTCTCCTGTATATTAAATCATTATGGTGGCTGCAAGGTTCCCCAATTTGACAGTTGAATATAATTTATGTTAAGCTCTGGCAAACACTAATGTGACCTCAGCGAAGTCTGTTAATGAAATCTAGCTCTTTCTGTGAATTCACCAACTCCAGCTAACCCGGAAAAGTCTCAAGAGATCTATTGCCCGAAGAAAAGTACAAATATAATATTTTCAAACAGAAAATGTGAAAAATATTCTCCATAGTCTCTCCTGAAGAAAGCACAGTCTTCAGAGAAAGATATAAAAGGACTTTTTCTTAATATTCAGCTATAATGGCATTTAGCATTCTTAGCTGAAACATCAACTCACTAATCAATCCCATATAGTTAAATCAGACAAAGGAATGCATTGGTCAAAACTGATTATCTTATACATTCAAAGGTTTATTTTTAGATATGGGAAAGGAAAAAGCATTGGCTTGTTGGAACAATGGAAGTATATACAGATAACGTTGGAAGGAAGCTAAACCTCAGAACAGAAGTTTTAGATAAGCTACTACAAATTGAAAGAAGAATAAGCATAAACACCTGTTTAAGTATCTTGAAACTGCCCAAGGAGAAGGCAGAAACACAAAATGGGCATTTCTTTTGGAGCACAAAACTTGTGCTACTCCAACAATGTTTCACTGAATATTCTAAGGAGGTGCAATATGAATATATGCACACTGTATTTCTTCTAAAAATCCATCTATCAGCAAGCTATTCAGCCACACTAGCATAGTCAATTAGCTCACTTACACCTATTGTTAATGGGAATTTAGCTCTGACAGAGCAAAGCCTTAGGAATTTTGTTTCCTGATGAAATAAGAATCAATACAGCCGACTGATCAACACAAACAGCCAAAGAAAACCAGAAGTGCTGCAAAGCAAAAGTATTTAACTCCCCTTATTTTAAAACACAAAAGCACAGCTCTGACGGCACTGTTCCTATTAAGCCACCACAACCACATCATTAATTTCCCTAGGATAATCTGCCTTTGTGATTCTTAAAACAAAGAACAGCAAAGCAACGAGTCCAATGAAGCCAATGGGGTTTCATGCAATTCTTTGGTTTTGCCTTCACTTAGGAAGTTTATTGATCATCCTCAAAGAGAAGAATCACTGTGTTCAGCATTGTTACTAGTAGACTATCACAACAAACACAAACACAGCACGACAAACGGGGCGGTGATATACAGGCGGGCCTAAGGGAATCTGTTCCTGCTCAGCTGCTAGCAATCCTCTCTGCTCTCTGACTCCTGCCCATCTTATGGGAAAGCCTTCTTAACTCACCATGACACTTGGGTCGTTTAACCTTGCAAAACACCTTTGCACGAAACATGCTGTAAAATTATGATTCATAAAATAGAAAACATATTAAACTACAAAGTAATAATCCCAACAAAATGAGACCAAGCTGACTCTTCTGTAAACGGGACTGATGTTTTCCTGGGAATTATCTTGTAATAAATAATCCCACATTATACAATCTTCATGATAATTTATTCATACTTACAACATTCAGTAGTTGTTAGGAAATACTGTAAAATCAAAATCGTAACATTATCATTACAGAAGTATATAAAACGTTTCGTCTATAACAGAACCAAGAAGAGCCATCAGAAAGAGTTTTCGGGTCTCCAAACTTCAGAAAGAATAAAAAAACGTGAAGGAATTCAATAAAGCATCGTTTCTGCGTCTTCAAAAAATTGTGAGTTACTGAAAAAGTGAGGCTACTTCTTGTAAATGAACAGGATACTTACCAGGGCAAAGATCCCTTTAAAAACTAAACTGACAGAGAAAAATTGTGCTGATTTGGCACTCTGCATCATAAGATTACAACATTTTTGATCCAGGAAGCAGAGCCCTCAAGCCAAGTATGACCTTTCTTGGAACTACAGACTAAACAGAGTTCTCTATCAGCCAGCATTAAATGGCAAAGACCACTGCAGTGATGAGGGAGGAATTTCTTGCAGCCAGGAGAAACGTATTTGGGGAGGATGATGTTTTGTAATCGTAACCTAATGCTGTGTCAGTGAATCATGTATCTGTACTATGAGAAGCCAAAGACCACAGTGCGAGGAAGCTTCTGAGTGTCAGTGTTAAAAGGTTAACCATCCTGTCTCAGGACAGGAAATTAAGCAGTGACAGCAGAGACATTGGTTTTACTTATCTCCATGCTTGAAACACAAATAATGCACTCTGCTTACAAAGATGAAGCTGTTACGTTCCATTACATATGCTGACTTTAAGACAAATCCAAAGACGTAGGAAAGAAGGTTTGTGGGTAGGCTGTGAACTCGGGAAATCCTAAATTCAATTTTTGGCTGGGTAACAAACCTACCAACTTACGCTACACAAATATCATCTGCCCTTTGGGAAAAAGTAAGGTAACATTTCTCATTATTATATAGCAGAGCGAGACTTCCCGTCATTGAATGAAGGCCACTTAATAAGCACTTTGTGACCACTTCACTTTAAAACAAGGGACTTCAGAGTTCAAGGGATATGTATGTTTTAATCAATTCCCTTTTACAATCTCTACCATACAGATGGTTACACTTGTAGTAAATTGCAGACAAAAGAAATCCTTCATGTGGCATTACAAGAGCCTTATCGTTTGTGAATTCTAATCTGCCTGCGAGACTGAAGAGAAGTGAATTTTGTGCAACTCTGGAATTCCGGTCACTGCCCTACAAGGGAATGCTTATGTTACACAGCAATCATAAATGCTACTAGCATGTACATTCTAAGCGTGTTTGTCTTAGGTGATCCTCTTCACGCATGGCATACAAAATATATTTCCCTTACCTAGCCAGTAGCAGGAAATTAATAATTAAATATTCATCTCTTGTAGAACTGCGTTATTAAAATACGCATTTCCTTATGCTACAGGATTTTGTAAGGTCTGACTCAAGAAAAGAGGTTTAAATACAGCCATGCATGAGCTTAAATCTTACTGCTATCACACTCCTGTACAGTCAATTCCCTTACCTGGGACTTGTTTGAAAAAGATCCCAGGCAGCCATCAAATTATAAAAACAAATATCACCTAAAAAGTTAAAAAAAAAAAAAAGCGCCAACCTTTCATTAACCAATTTCATGTGCTGGTACTCAGAAAATCCTCATAAAACCTAGTCTCACCTTAGCCACCTTAACCAACGATAGACTGTCAGGGTGGCAAATAAACCACACTGCAGAGAGATGCCACGACGGCTCCTCGCAGAGCTGCCTTCACTGCCTCCCTGTCACGTTCCCTGAGTCTGGACTGAGGGCGGTTCATCAGCGAGCACTGCCAGAGCTGGGCTGTTGCTCTCTTGACTCCTAGATGGGTTGCTTTGAGGAGGTGCCATTTGAACACAGCTCAGCTACTTCTGCTTCTACACCTTACCCAAGTGCTGCACATGAGTTCATAATCAGCCCACCCAGAAAGAGAAGGTTAGCAGAGCACCATGCAGGCTTTGAAGAAGCCAGCAATGTCCGGGAATAACTGTGTTTTTCCTTTACTCAGATACTCAGATTATCCTAGCTCTCTACTACCCTATTCATACAGAATCCAAATTGCAGTCACCTAGAAAACATTAACCATTTTTCCTGCAGCGTTACTAGCTTAAGAAGTTTCCACAATACCTTAGCAGCATCTCCCTTTCTGTTGTACCATTATAACTCGTGATGCAGTGGGGGGCTGTGCTATAAATCAGATCAGTGAAATGATCTAGCTTAAAACCCAAAGTTTTGAGGGCCCCTCCCAGAAGAGCTAACCACTGAAGCACCTGGTTCTACAGACAACTGAAGAGCACAACTCAAAAGGTGAGAAGCTGCAGCACCAGGGAACCACCGCAGCTGCCGAGGAATTTCTTAAAATCACCCTGGAGCCAAAGAAAATGTATTACGTAACTGCCTGCAGCAGGGTCCTGGGTTGGGCAAGCCTGCCAGCATAGTGTCCCGCATCTCAGAATATCAGTCACCCTACAGAAATCTCATGTAGGTCTCATGTTGTTCACTTAAAGAAAGGAGAAGGATTTGACAAGGTTTTTCTTTGGTTGTTAACTGCATTAGTTTTTTGGTTCATTTCCCTAACGAACATACCCTAGAATGATCAATTTATTTTTTTAAAAAAGTTTCTCTCCTCCAGTTTATTAGATACATCGCATTTTGCTTTCTAGTCTCCTTATTTCTAATTTATGTAAAGATTGTTTTCGAGGCTGGAGAACAAGGAGTGTTCTCTAAAAAGATGATCTATTTGAATCTGTCAGAAAACAAGACTTTCTTCCCTGAGTGCTAATCTCAGGACTTTCTTTTTAGGGTATAAAGAATAAAATTACATAAAATATGTTCTGCCTTTTACGAAGCCCTTTAAACAAAGCTGGGTAATTTCTGAAAGCATGTTTTTAAGTCAATAAACCCGCTACTAAATTGAAATGGTTAGGTATTTTCTGAAGCTTCCTTTTTAGCAGGCTGATGGCACAGGGACTGTAATCCCCTCTTAGTTTACATAACTAGCTATAATTTTTTACAGTAATGTGAGTAACTGAAAACCTGAAAAAGCCTCTCAAGTCTTGTTCTCCAAAGTAATCTTTACTTAGAAAAAAGACCAACCAACGTACGGAGGTAAGAACAAAGGAAGAAATCTTTAAGCAAAGTCACAATTCTTGCAGGCGGTTAACCTCACTGGAATTCACTTTCTGGTGTACGGCAAAAGAAAAAACGCAGTCTTGTCCACAGAAAGAGTAGGAAAAAAAGGACCATAAATCTCCAAGTTCTTGCCAATGATCAAATTTAGAACTCTAAGGAGAAAACTTATTTAAACCACCACCACCACCAAGAGAGAATTAAAGAAACGATACATACCTTATCTACCGGGAGAAAGTCATTGTCAACTTCTATTGACCTTGGTCGTAGCTTTATAGGTTTGTCCTTGAAGATATCTCCAAAGCCAACACCCTTGACCTTTTTGGGTTGGATTGTTGTGCCTCCATTGGCTCCTTCAGATTTTGTGCTGCAAGAGTCACCTCCGTCACTCTCGGAGCCTGTAGCATCTTTTAGGCCTGTGAAATGGAGGGATGAAATGAAGAATCTTAAGTCTGAAGCCCAATAATTACAAACCAGATTGCGAATGGAAAATGATCCCTCCCACCATCCCCTAAAGGAAAACAAAACCATGAGAAACAGGTAAAGAAGATGATCTCTGTGCCATACACTCATTCTGGAATTTTTAAGATCATTTTATTTCATCACGTTGGTGTACTAGCCAGAACTTACACCAATCCACAAAACATGCATACTCCAGCATCAAAACTTTATTCATGAAGGTCACCATTACTTGAGTACCAAGAAAATCCTTCACCTTTAGAAAAAGATTATTCAGAAGAGAATCCAAGAAATGAAAGAGTTAAATTCAGTTCTAGGGCAGCTATTGTATAATGCCACTTAAAGCTAACAAGCAGTCAGACCAGGCATACTGTACCTTAAATCTGTATGACTCACATCAAGCCAATTATGCAATTAGTATCTAAAGCTACATTACCTAACTGGCAAATATAAAGCTGAAAGCTGTTTAAACAAATTTGCAATAAAATAAGCTGCATAATATGTTCCCTGCTGAAAATTAAATCTCTCTGCAGCACAGACAGCCTCGTAAGAAAAGCACCCATGCACACCATCCTCTAGGACTATAATAAATCAAAACTGACATTCTGATTTGCATTACTTCTTTCAGTGAATAGCAAAATTCATCTACGCTTCTCTGAAAATTTCCGCTCTTTGAATAACAGAGGCCACAAATCCAATATGGTGGATGTCCAATATGACATTTCAGCCACTTTACAGAATGGTGCAGAATCAGGCCCGATACTCGCGGGCAGTAAAAGTGGCCCACTGACGTGTCCTCCAGTTGAGACAGCCTCCTGAATCGTTCAAATCTTCCTTCTTACACGTTACAGACTGAGTTAACTCAATGTTTCCAGGAAAAAAACACAGCTATTGCTGCTGCTACAGAGCATGGCTAAATACTCCTAATGACAACAAACCCAAATTCTCACGTTCTACTCAGAAGCGTTCATGGTGCCACAGACATGGATCTTATGAGTCAAAGAAGGCAAGTTTCCTCATCGTCTTACTCTTTTTATATAAAGGTGGACAAACCAACTGCAATGGATTTTCATTATAACAAGGTGCCAGTACAGAAGACAGAAATCATCCTTACAATCTGGGCATTCAAAATCAAGTAGGTATTATATATAACATATAACTGTTTTCCTCTTCCTTTGAATACTCCAGCATGTTATCTGTTTCCGCCATAAGGAAAGAAATAGCATTAAGAATGGACAAAAAGGATCTGCAAGTTGTGGAGCACGTGGGAAGCTTTATATCTTCACAATGCCTCAGTTTCTGCAGTTCTCTGACACTTACAAGCAGCAGG